ATCACCTGGGTCACCATCCGCAGCCCCAGACTGGCAAGGTGGCTGGGTCAGGAGTGCGCGTGCATGCGCCTTGGCAGGGTGGCCGGCAGTGGTCCACCTGTGCCCTGAGAGGTGCCCGGGGTGCAGCGGGCAGAGTAGCAGAGGTGATGGGAGCGCGGACACAGGGCCACAGCCCAGGCGGAAGCCGCCTGCTGGCTGCGTGACCTTCTCGAACTGGCAGAGAATTCGTTCTGTTGTTTAAACCCCATGGTCTGTGGTGCTTTGTTATGGCAGCTTCTGGAAACAAAGTGCCCCCCGGGGGAGCCCTCTGGGAAGTGGTGAATCCTCATCACCATAGCTGACGGCCAGCCCCGGGGAGTCTCCCACCCCTGAGCTTGCTTGGGGGGCACCGCAGAGCTATGATGGGCCCTGCTCTCCAGGGCCGGGTCAGATGGAGCTGGGGAATCAGAAGGTGTGGGGACCCCTGTTGAACCCCAAGTTTTCCAGCACGTGGGCACAGGGCCACCTAGGCGCCAGTGGTGGTGGTGGAGAGACAGGAGGGACGATAGGTGTCCACACGCTTTGGGGCCCCCTTTCTTTCTTTCTTTCTTTTTTTTTTTAAGATTTTATTTATTTATTTTTTGACAGAGAGGGAACACAAGCAGGGGGAGTGGGAGAGGGAGAAGCAGGCTTCCCGCCGAGCAGGGAGCCCGATGCGGGGCTCCATCCCAGGACCCTGGGACCACGACCTGAGTCAAAGGCAGATGCTTAACGACTGAGCCACCCAGGCGCCCCAGGGCCCCCTTTCTAATGGCAGAGCTAATCCATGGAGGGGCTTCCCCAGGAGGGAGGGAGTTCTCATCGCAGGGCGGGGGCACATCCAGATTTGCAAGGAACTCCTGCCCTGTGTTGGGGCGCTGGAGCCCCCCAGACCCCGTCTCTCTTGATGGGAGCCAGGCAGGCTGTCCTGGGACCCCCTATGGATTAGAGGACAAAGATATGGTAGAGTCTGGGTTCACCCCCTCTGCAGCTGCAGGGTCCCTGGAGATCCCACCCCTTCCCAGCCTCAGCTTCCTCACCCCCTGCCCCCACCCTCACTGGGCAAGTGGACCTGGCAGCTGCACTGGGAACAAGGAAGCCCTGGGATAGGACCCTGAGCCAGGATGGAGGCAGCCCCAAGGCCGGGCAGCTCCGTCTCTCGAAGCCTCCTTCCTGTATTCCTTGAGTCTTTACTGAGCACCTACTTCCTGTGTTCCAGGTACTCTTGTAGATGCTGGGGATTGGTGAGTAAAACTGACCAAGTTCCCTGCCTTCGTGAAGCAGGCAAAACCAAAAAGGTGAGTCACGGAAAGTTGTTACAGTCTGAGGAATCAGGGGCGCCAGAGTGGCTCAGTCGTTAGGCGTCTGCCTTCGGCTCAGGTCATGATCCTGGGGTCCTGGGATCGAGCCCCACATCGGGCTCCCTGCTCAGCAGGAAGCCTGCTTCTCCCTCTCCCGCTCCCCCTGCTTGTGTTCCCTCTCTCTGCTGTGTCTCTCTCTCCGTCAAATAAAGAAATAAAATCTTAAAAAAAAAAAAGTCTGAGGAATCAAACAAGGAAGGAGAGGCGATGCTAAATCTTAAGGAGGGTGGCTGGGGACAGCTGCACCTTGAGGGGACTGTGGTCAAATTCCCAAGCAAGTGGGGAAGCCAGTCCAAGAGACACCAGGGCACGCCTGGTAAGGATATAGCACGTGCAAAGGCCCTGTGGCAGGAGCATGCTGAGTGGGTTCCAGGTAGAGCAGGGAGGCCGTGCGGCTGGAACAGAGTGAGGAAAGTGGAGAGAGGCAGGAAGGGAAGTCAAAGGGCCAGAGAATGCAGTGACTGTGGCCTTGGAGGACTTGCTGCTGGGCAAGATGGGCAGTGACAGCAGGGGTTTAGGAGAGGCATTGTCATGCTGGCGGCTGGGTTGAGAACTGACAGCAGCGGGATGGGGGAGGGGCACGTGTTAAGGCCACGGCTGCAGTCATCCAGGTGAGGTGGCAGGCTGAGACCAAGGTGATGGTGTGGGTGGTGACACATGGCCACCCCCTGCTTATATTCTGAGCGTGCTGCCGATGAGCAGGTGTGGAGGGTGAGATCACTGGGCTGCTGGCCCATGTATTAGGAAGATGGAATCTCCTGGAGAAGGGACAGGTGCAGCAGGGCTGGCCTGGCGGAGACAGACGCTTCCTGATGCCCAACGGGCAGAGGCCCAGCCCTGGAGAGAACAGCTAGGGAACAGTCAGCATAGAGACAGAGCCAGGAGGTGTGACAAGGTCAGTCTAGGAATTCAGGAGGAGAGGCGAGGTCAGAGCACAGACACAGGGAAGAGACAAACTGGAACAACCAGGTGAGTGGGGGGTCCTGGGAGGGTCCTTCAGCCGGAGGGCATGGTCAGCGTGTCCCCCACTAGATCTGGCCACAGGGAGGTCACTACTGACCTTGAATTGGGCAGCTCCAGGGGAATCCTGGGGAGAGGGGCAGCCTGGTTGGAGAGGGACCCAAAAGGGTGGGAGGAAATTAGGAGACTGAGAACGACAGGAATCCGACGGGAATCTTGAGTCCTCCGGGCCGGGGGTTGGGGGCTCCTCATGGGCCTCCAGGGGCTGAGACTGGGCCGGCTCTCAAGGAGGCAGAGGGGCGCTGGAGGAGAGTCAGCCGGGGGTCAGGCAGAGGCGCCTTGAACTCTAGGCCCCCCCCAAGCGATGTGATTCTGGGCCCACTTGGAAACAGGACAGGACCGTCAGAGACCCCGCCAGCTGGGCCCCGCGGCCCCGCCCACCGCTCCCCTGTCTCTGGGTGCATCCCTCAGTCCTGGGGCTCCAGTGGGCCATCCCTTCGTATTTGATCCCACCCTTGGCCACATCTGGTGGTCCAGAGGTGGGCTCCCCACCTGACTGGGCCGACTGGAGGCCTCTGAAGTGTCTGGAGCCAGGACGCAGGGGGTCTGGCTCCCCCATTTGCATGCTCTCTTGAAAGGCCAAGGACGAAGACCCGGGTGGGTAGGTTGCGGGAGCTCATGTGCAACAGAAAAAGTAGGTGCTGTTGCTGGGCTGAGAAGCAGGAATGAGTGAGGGAGCAGTGTCCACACCGCACAGCGCCTGGCCGGGTGGGTTTCTGTTGCTCCTGACCATCCACTGGGTCCCAACAGTTGCACCTGCCACCTCGGGGCGGAGGCGGGGGGATCCGCATGTGGAGGGTGCCCATGAGCTCTCTCCTCCCTCCCTCCCATCAGGGGCATGACCCTGATTTTCCACCTCTCCAATTTCCCCCTCCCTGCCCCTCGTGCTCCCAGAGGCCTCTCTGCTGAAGGCAAAGCAAACCACACGGCTTTGAAATCATCAGTTGAGTTTAATACATCGTACAGAAGGAAAACTACATTGGCATATTTAAGACAAACACTTTTTCTCTACCCTCACTATCCACTGGACGGTCCTCCTTGGTCCAAAACACTAAGTCTTCAAGACACGTCGGCAGCTACCCCTCCCGGGTCCAACCTTCCATATCCTCCCATTACATTTTTTTAAAAATTTAATTCAATTCAATCCATCCAAGAAGAAAAACAAACCAACAAAAAGGAACCTGAAGACATTTACATCGCAAGCCACGCGGTAATGCATAATTGGCATCTAGAGTAACCAATATAGAAGACGTGTGTCTCACAGTTCACTTTGTTCATCAATAAAAGAATATAAAAATCTTGTTCAACCCAGTGTTAAGTGTATTAAAATAGATCTGTATCGTACAGCACAGTTTCTCCCGGAGTCGAGAAAATGACAGGAGGGACCATGGCAGTCTGTGGGATCCTGGCCAGCCTCCCTGCTCTGCACCTGTCTGCGTGCGTGTGTGTCTGGGGCCGCGTGTGCACACGCGCACCTGTGTTCAATGCAATTCGGCACCGTGTGATATGCTGGGGTGGGAGCCCGCTGGCTTCCGGATGCTTATCTGTTGTGCTACGTCCCTCAGGACTGGAGAAGCTGGTGGGTGGACATCCCACCCCGGGGCGCGGGAGCCCTTTCATGACGCGAGCGCGCCCTCAGCTCTCACGAACGCAAGGAGACAGCAAGAAGAGGGACTCTTGCGTCTCCGAAGGCCAAACCCTCCCGAGGCCACTGCCCCCTCTCCCTCCCTACCCTCGCCCCCCCCCTTCTGAAAGAACCCTCTGGATCTCCCCAGTTTGGCAGTCCCCCAGGAGGGGTTTTAGCATTCGTACCTTGCAGCAGAGACCACTGTAAGCAGGAAAAGAAGTCAGCAAGCATCCCCCCTTCACATTAAATATCTTACAATAAAAACGCCATACAAAAATGTAAAGTTATTTTTTGGCATAAGTGTCTGTACTGGCAAGAAAAGAGGAATGGAATACTTTATCGGCTCTTCGAAAGGAGAAAAGAAAAGGCTTCAGTCATAAGTTGAATGATTCAACCCCGAATAGAAAACCCGCCAAAGGCCTCCCCTGCACGCTTGCAGCTCCATCTTGCCCAAAAACTCCATGAGAAAAATACATCGATGGCAAAATGAGTCCAGAAGGTCGGCAAAGGGCAGGAGGCGTTCAGAGTGGGCACTCTGAAGACTCGGGGGCAGGCGGAGGCCCTGGCAGGTGGAGACTGCAGAGTCCCTCCCCGGAGGGACCCGCCTCATAGTTTCTTTCAAGTTCAACAGCTGTGACTCTTAATGCTAATAATACTGACAGACAGGGGCCCGCGTTCTGGAAGGCGCTGGAGCGCCCCGGCCTCAAGCCCCGGGGCCCCTGAGCGGGAGGGGCACGGGGTCCTACCTAGATTCGCTACCCACTGCTCGTCCCAACTACCGCTACTACTCAGCTAGGTCTTCGGGTTCTTGGCTCCCCTCCCAACCTCTGTCCTTCTCTCTCCTGGGGGGCAGCACGAGGCCGAGGAGACAGCTGTGCCTGGAAGCTGGAGGCCTGGGCAGCCCCCCAACAGCCAGGGGCTGACTGTGCGCCCGGCCATCAGGCACCCCCCTGGCTTCCTTGGTGTCCCGTCTAAATGTGGAGGGAAAGGACTCCATCCCCACCCGTCCTGGCTCTAGGACTTCCACCCAGTTCCTTCTCCCTTCTTTCCTCTGTCTCTCTCGGTCAGGTTTTATTTTCATCTGAAATTCATAGTGTTTATGAATTAAGGCGGACAGAACCCTCAGGTCTGCTGAGCAGGGTCCCAGGAACCTTCCGTGGGTGTGAAGCGGGTCCCGCAGGGTCAGTTGTGCCCCTGGGGGTGCTGGAGGGCAGAGCGCATGGCTGCCGCTGGGGGCTTGGTCCAGGGCCCGGCCAGCAGCGGGGCGGGGCTGGTGGTCGTCATGGTGACCTGCAGCATCTGCTCGCCCTGTATCAGTCTCAGGAGGGCCCGCAGGCGGTCCAAGGATGACTGGGTGCCCCTCTGCCGGGCCAGTAGGCTCGTCTTAAGCTCTAGGCATTTCTGGCGGGGGGAGAGAGGGGCGAGGTCTCAGAATCCCACCGCGCAGGCATCCTGGGGCTGCCACCCTCTCAGCCGTCCCACAGCTCCGCCCCCCCTTTCGGGCAGAGGCCTGAAAGCAACCAGCGTGAGGGCCTTCCAAAAACCGGGCAGCCGCAAAAAATGGAATTGCAGCCAGACACACAGGAGAAGTTTGTTTTAGAGTTCAGGGCTAGAAATGGCGTGCCTCCTCCTCCCGGCCGTGACGCTACTTCAATGATCGGGCCATTTCTCCTCCTGCTGAGGAAGCTGGGAGCCAGTTCTGGCTCAACCACTGCAGCTGCAGAAGATCTGCAGATGGCCAGCCAGCTCTCCGCTCTGTGTGCTGCCTGCCGTGCTCTTGTCTTCGGTTGGCTTTATCCATATCATGGCAGGGCAGGCAGCAGTCAGGACGGGGCCCAAGCTGGAGTGTAAGCTACTTGCTGCTCAGGGAACTAAACACATACTCCCTGATGCTGCACCCAAACTCTGAGACAGGAATAATCACAGATCCTCCTCTTGGGTTATTCTGAGGATTGAATGAGATACTATGTTTAAAGAGTTTCACCAGGGCCTGGCATTGCCCTTACCATCATCACCGCCACCACCATCATCACCATCACCACCACCACCATTGTCATCACCACCATCATGACCGTCACCACCACCACCATCATGACCATCACCACCACCACCATTGTCATCACTACCATCATGACCATCACCGCCATCATCACCACCACCACCATTGTCATCACTACCATCATGACCATCACCGCCATCATCATCACCACCACCATCATCATCATCACCACCACCATCATCACCATCACCACCATCACCACCATCATCACCATCACCATCATCACCATCACCACCATCATCACCACCACCACGATCATCACCATCACCACCATCACCACCATCATCATCGCCACCATCATCATCACCATCACCATCATCACCATCACCAACCAGCATCACCATCACCAGCATCACCATCATCACCACCATTATCACAACCATCATGACCATCACCACCATCACCACCATCATCATCACCATCACCACCATCACCATCACCACCATCATCACCATCACCACCAGCATCACCATCATCACCACCATTATCATCACAACCAACATGACCATCACCACCATCACCATCACCGCCATCATCACCATCAGCACCATCACCATCTCCATTCTTACCATCACCATCATCACCACCATCACCACCATCACTGCCATCATCACCATCATCACCATTGTCTTGTTTACCACCACACTACAGAAGAGAAATCATTATGTTCACTTTACACAAGAAGAAACTGAGGTTCAGAGGCAGGGCTTTGCCAAAGACGGCCAGCTAGGTAGGGGCAGAGCTAGAGGCTCAATTGCTTGATAACTATTTGTTGAATAGATCACAGAGCTGCATTCTCTACCTCCTGGCTCACTGAGTATTGTTGGTGAGTCTGTCTTCTCCTGGAGCCTCAGTAACAGGACAGTGAAGCTTTGGACTTACATCTTGGGGCTCTAAGGTCCCCCATTCTCCGGCCCCCCACTGCCAGCGCACCTTCACTGCCGAGGCCAGGCGCCGGTCCCGCTCCTCCAGCTGCTGGTGCTCACTCTGTAGCTCGCTGCCTCTCTGTAGCAGCTTCTGCTTCTCTTCTTCTTTGACTAGCAAAGAGAAGGCCAGGTAAGCAAGCAAGCAAGCAAGGTGAGCAAAAAGCCTGGTCCGTGCGCGAGCGGGAAAAGCAGAAAGAACCCGAGGTCTACGCCTCTAGGCCATTCCGGCTACATCCTCCTGCAGAAGCCGTTGGCCCTGGCCGCATACACAGGGGCTGAAAATGCCATCCCCCCCACAGTAACTGCCTTGCACACAGGACCAGTCCCAGGGTCCCTCTTTGCAGAGCTCTGGCTGGGAACAGCTTCAGATGGGCCCAGAGTGAGTCCCGAGGATGGGGGCGGGGATGGAGAGAAGGGAGGAGGTGCCCTTCTTCACTCCCCGAGGCCGCCTTACCTGTCTTGTGGGTGACGTAGGAGTGCACAATGGCCAGCATCCCGGTCCAGGGCACGCCATCATCTTTCTTTAAGGCCTAGAGGGCAGACGGGTTGATGAGCAAGCGGACAGGCCAGAACCTGCCACGGCCTGGCCGTGCAACCCTGGGCGGGGGGCGGGGCAGACACAAGCTCTCTGAGCAGTAGGTTCCTCAACCGTGATGGGGTGGGGTCGCCCCTGTCTCACGATCTGGCTCACAGAGCTCTTTGAGGGCAGGAACTGTTTCTTGCCAAGGCCCCCCTTGGTGCTGGTGTGGAGGAGGCCCCAGTTCTTGACTGAATGCATCCATGAATGACCACCTGCCTTCTTCCCTTGTCCTGGGGACCCGAGAGCAGCTCCACCGTTCTCTTGTCTTCGGTTGGCCAGGGAGGCCCCACCATCGTGCTGAACTCGGGAAGACAATCCTGTGCCCTCTCTGTCTTCCCTCAGAGAGCTGTGAGCCCCAGGCAGTCACAGCGCAGGGGCTGGTGGCCCCCACAGGAGACCGTGACATAGGGTCCCCTGTACCCACCCTCTCCCTAGGTCCCCGGGATGATGCGAACCCCTGAGAATCAGTGTTTTCTGAAATAAAAGTGATTCCCCTATGATTTTACAAGTAACACATATGCATTATATAGAAAAACATCCTTCACAAAAAGGCACTGCTACTTCCCACGTGATTCTAACATTTGGAACTATGTCCTCCCATGGTTTTTATTCTACCTGCAGCTTTTCTCAGGGGGCCGATGATTAAACCATACAGCCACTATAAAGCCTGGTGTTTTCTTTTTCAAAAACTTAATTCCACATAGAGAACAAGCCCCGAAGAATCACAAACTCTTTGTAAAGATCATGTTCAATGACCACATAACATCGCCTTGCGTGCACATGCTGGAATTTATTTCACTGTCTCCTACTGCTGGCGAGGCAGCTGTATCTCTTTATAAAATATGGGGCGAGGGGCTTCTTCGTGCACAGAACTTTATCAGTATTTGGATTCTTTCTTGAGACTACATTCCCCAAACCTAGATTCTGCATTTAAAAGATATATACATTTTTAAGGCTCTTGATAAAATTCTGCAATGCGGAGAGTGTCTGCCTCCCCCGCATCATCACCAGAAGGGAGTGTTACTGTTTTTTTGAACCTGCTAGGTTTTCATTTGTGTGGGGGCAAGGAGAAGGAACGCGTTAGCTAGCACTGTTTTTGCGGTTTGCATTGCTAGTAGTCCTGGTCTCCCCAGGGGGAGTCTGGAGTTCAGAGGGGGAGTCACTGGGTCAGGTAGCTGCACAGGGACACCTCTGCTCAGTCGTCACCAGTGGGTCTCCGCGGGCAGTGTCTGAGATCTCAGGCCACTATGGGGGTGCTCGTGGCATCTAGTGGGCAGAGGCCGGGGGTGCTGCTGAGACCCTACAGTGCACGGGCCCAGCCCAGCAGATTATCCAGCCTCAGATGCTATGCCGGGGGAGGGTCCTTCGGTGCAGGGAGAGAGTCGGCAGCACAGCCTCCCATACCTTCTGCTGGCACTTGGGGCACCGCCATATGCCCTTGGGCGCCGTCTTGAGGGGCGGGTCCAGGCAGCTGAGGTGGTAGGCCCCCGGGCAGGTGCCGCAAGGCTGCAGGTTGGCCCCTCGCTTGCAGGCAGCACAGTGCTCAGCATGGGTGATCTCACTCTGGAAGAGAAGGGAGGGCGGGGAGGCGGGTCAGCAGGGCTGGGAGGGAGCTGGGGGCCCCCTGGGCAGCTGCCGCCCTGACCTGCTTGTGACCCACTGTTTCTCAGCAGCTCCAAGAGAGAGAGGGACAAGCCTTGGAACCGGGGGACGAGCAGCTGCCTGTCACGTGGACTCAAGGGCACCACCTGGGCCACCTTTACTAGGGACACGGCCACCGAGTCAGAGTCAGGCGGGGTGTGGCCCCAGCACCCTGATTCATCCCAGCTGAGACCTGGACACCAGGAGTGGGTGGCGGGGCGGGCGGTCCTGCTGTGGCTCAGGAAACAGTCCCCCTGGGCCCCCAATGTCCCACAGAGCAATATCCTGGGGGCGGGGCAGGCAAGTGCTCACAAAGCCTCCCTCGCGCGCGTTCTTCGTGCGCGTATGGCCTTGGGAGGTACCCGGCCACGGCTCTCCCCAGTGCTCTTGACAACACCTCGGTCCAACCTGGCATCTCCCAACATCCCGGGTGGGTTACTGCGCTCTTCTGTTTCCACATCTGTAACGTGGGCTAGTGACACCTGCCCCACAGGATGCTGGGAAGACGCAACAGGACACGGCGCACAAAACACAATCCGTGTAGGAGCCTGGTAAGGGGTGACTTCCTCTTTCCCTGGGATAAAGGAACTTCAAATGTCCCTTCCAGAGTCGCCTGCATTTGGCGGTTCAACCTCTGCTTACCCAGCTGTGGGGACAGGGAGCTCACTACCTCCCCAGCCAGCCTGCTGCACTGTGGACAGCCCTGACAGAGAGAGGAGCCTTTCATAACCCCACGCCTCCGGTGACCTGCAAAGTCTGAACGGTTTTCCACCACCCACTAGAAAATCTCCACGCACGGGATGTCTGTTCTCTACCCACACGGCGGCAGGGCCTTCTGACTTCATGGTTGTGAAGGACCAGAGGGCTCTCATCTGGAACGGCCCACGCCACGAGGACCCTGGACCCCAGGCCGCCCCTGACGGGGGAGGGGGGCAGCAGACAGAGATGAGGCCTCAGAGACTCGCTGTCACTTCTCATTTCAGTGCAGGAGCTCAGGGAAGGCGAGCCACGCGCCCAGGATGGCTCAGTAAGCTGCAGGTGGACGCAGGACCAGCAGCGGGGTCTCCCGCCTCGAAGCCACGGCTCCTCCAGGACTGGGGTCTGCAGAAGCGGAGCTCGGGCTCCAGGCACGTCCTGTGTCCACACTGGTTGGGCACAGGTGTCTGTGGACAAGCCACCAGCACCGGTCTGTGACACTACACCGTTCCGGTGGCAAAAAGCCCGGTATCACCAGAGTTTAGACCTGTCACCTGCTGCTGCTTAGTGGCCCAACTGTTACAGGCATGTAGGGGCTACAAATTCTTCTAGAATTAGATCCTAAACTTATTTAAAAAGGGAGGTCACGGGGCGCCTGGGTGGCTCAGTCGGTTGAACAACTGCCTTCGGCTCAGGTCATGATCTCAGGGTCCTGGGATCGAGCCCCGCATCGGGCTCCCTGCTCAGTGCTGAGTCGGCTTCTCCCTCTCCCTCTCCCACTCCCCCTGCTTGTGCTCTCTCTCTCAAATAAGTAAATAAAATCCTAAAAAAAACCCATGAGGTCACGGCCAGCTTGTGTCCTGGGAAGCAGGGACGCACTGCGTGCTCGGGGAATCGGGGTCTCACAAGATCACAGAGAGGGGAGTCCTGAGGGATGAGACCCTGGGGATTTACTAGGTCTAGACCCTCACGAGGTGGGCAACGGGGCCCTGAGAGAGGCAGCCCCCCCCGCCCCCCGGGGTCACACAGCAGGGCCGAGCAGAGCCAGGCAGAGCCTGGCCGGCATCAGCTGCCTCCACCTGGGCCTTCTTGGCTTCCGGGGTCCCTCCGTCCTCAGCCGTGGGCGGAGAGAGCTTGTGTTTGCGCAGCCTGTGGGCTGACCCCGGGGGGACGCCCGACTCTGCCAGGCCGGCTGGCCAACGGCCTGGCTGGGGTTGCCAAGCTCTCGGTATCGCGCGCGGAGCCCAAAGGCCCTGGGCGCGCTCGGCTCTCCCGCGCCTGGAGCGCCCACGCCCGCACGCGCCCCGCCCAGGTGTGCCGGCGAGGGGACACCTACCTTCCAGCAGGGGTCCTCATTGGCTGGCACAGGGAGGAAGGGCGGAGAACATGTTAGTGGGAGTTGAGGAACACCAATCGGGACCGGAGGCCACGAGGCCCGGTGGGGCAGGGGTTCCCACCCCGGGGCAGGACGGGAGCATCACGGGCCCGGGACATGGTGTTCTCACCCGGGGCACGGCGGAAGTAAGGGTCTCTGCCCTGGTCGTGGCCAGGACCCGCCATGGGGTAGGCAGTGGGCTGCCCAGTGCGGGAGAGATCATTCCAGGGACCTCTCAGAGTGACTTATTTTCCACTGTGGCTTTTTGTTTTTTTGTTTGTCCATAACCCACTCTCCTTCCAGGAAGCGATGCCAAACCACACATTTAATGATCACAAAACATGGTTTTCCTTTTAGGTGCTGGCTCAGAGCAGTCCGCGGATGATACCGTCCAGAGGGAACACACGGGCATTTACCACGTGCCGTCACGTCCAGGCCTCTCTTCATCGTCCCGGCTCGGAGCCCCGGTTCTGACACCTGTCAGACGGCAGCAGGCTCCGCCGGCCCACCTCCTCCCCAGAGAGGGTATCGGGGCAAAGGACGCCATGGTGTGGAGGGCCCGGGAGCCGGAGTGCACCATCCTCCAGAAAGCAACTCTGTCCCGCTGCGGCCGGGCCGGGCCAGCCCCACACACGCCAAGAGCGGAGGGCCACCCACGCCGACAGCCTCAGGCCCCAGGGCAGCCACGGCCCGCGGGCACCTACCTCTCGCTGTGAGGAACAGGGGGGTGTTGAGATAGTTGGACGCCAGCCGTTTCCTCTGCAGGGGACCGAAAACAGAACAAAAGCAGCTCACGTGGAGCCCTCCTCGGCGACACTGCTCCTGCCCAGGACGCACCCGGGACAGGCTCCCCACCCAGGGCTCCGGAGGTCGCAACGGGGACGGACCCGCAGGGCAGGGGGGCAGCCTGGGAGTCAGCAAAGGCTCTGCCCTGCGGGAGGCACGGCCTCCACCCCTGAGCGAGCTCAGGAAATCAAGGAGGAAGTGAGGGGTATAAAGATGGACCCTTCGGGCGTGTTCTCCGAGCAGGGGCTGGGGGGAGGCGGTGTATAAGCAGAGGGCAGGGGCGGCCAATGACATTCTGATCTCCAGTGTCTGTTTCTCAACTGACTCTGAACTCAGGAGGGGAAGAAGGACATCATTTATTGTTGTGCCCTGAACTCCAATGCCCAGAGGGGCAGGGGAGGGAGGCAGCCGCCGGGCAGGTGCGCGAGGGCGGGGCCTCACCTCCGTCTCCAGGAGGCCACTGTACGCAGGATTAGCTGTGCTTCTTCTCTTCCGCTCTTGGCGTTTGCTCTGGATTTCTGGAAAGGCACAGACACAGCCGTTACTGGATCCTTCCTGGCCTGGGAACCCCGAACCCTTCCTCTGCGAGCTCCGGGCATCCCCGACCCCTCCTGCCCTACGGCTTCCGTCTGCCCAGCATCCCCGCCCCAGAGTGGCCCCCCGAATCGCTCCCTCCGAGGCAGATGGATGGGCTGGCTTCGGGCTGGAGGGTGGCAGGTACCCGCTCTCAGCACGGGGTCCCCCGTGTGCCATCATCCACCCCGGGGACGTCTCTCGTGGGATGTCCGTCGGCCAGGCACTGGCCCGGCCCAGCTGCACAGTGAGGCTCAGGGCTCCCGCAGGAACCCGTCCGCCTGCCGCTCAGGTAGGCTCTGCCCACACGAAGCCTCCAACACGAATCCTTCTGGGAGGGCCCCCAGTGTGGTGTGCTTCACGTAGTGACAGTGACCACCCAACACGAATGGTCCCCGCCTTTCCTTCCTTCTGTTTTGCCTGCCAGGTGGAACCTGGGACCTGTTTCTCTGAATACAGCTGTTTTGACATTTTTTTCCTAACTTGTCTTTTGGACTCCCAAATTTCCCTTTTAAATCTTTGCAGTATCATTCATGTGTTTCCCGTAAGGCACCCCAGACCCTCTGTGGAAGACAGGGTCCAAATAAATAAATATTTAGGGTATCAGGGGTGGGGAGAGAATTTTTACAAGGAGGGCTATTTATAAAAATCCCAACAGTCATGACGGTATCAGGAAAGCTTTTTCATCCCAGTCCTCACGACAACGCTGCAAAGTTTCAAGGTGCAGCGTTCCTCGTGTTACAGAAGAGGAGACTGAGGTTCAGAGTGGAGGGAGCTTGCCCAAGATCACCCAGCTTGAAGCAGCGCGACCGGGCCTCGAACACAGATCTTCAGACATGACCGGGAGGGCCCAAGCCTGAGTGGTTAGCAAGTGGCAGGACTGGGCAGTCTGGCTCCAGCATCCACTCCCCTGGGCTGCGTGCAACGTGGGAGCAGGGGACCCACACGGTTCCTTTGCCAAAATCAGAAAGTGGGCTCTGTGCACACAGCCACGGAGCCAGGGAGAGCAGGGAGGCTTTCTTGGTCTTTGTGCTGACAACCCTTGGCACTTGGGACAGACCTCCCAGAAGGTGGTTCACTCATGTGTGCTGCCCTCCCACCAGCCACCACCCCATGGCCACCACCCCAGCCTGCCACCATGCAGGTCCTTACCTTCCAAGTGTTCCGTTGTGACCAGGCCTAGAGCTACCATGAAGGCGATTTTCTGAGGGAAGGAAACAGAGAAGCATTAACACAGCCTTCCACGTTTGTTGATTCAATAAACATTGGCTGAGCACCTCCGTGATGGGGCTGGCTTATCAGTTTCGGGTTTCCTTCGTTTTTACCTACTGTCCGCTCTCTGTCCCAGGACCCCATCCAGGATCCCACGCTGCATTAAGTTGCTGTGTCTCCTTAGCTCCTCTGGGCTGTGCCAGATTCTTAGGGCTTACCTTGTTGTTGGTGACCTTGACCATTTATTTGGAGCTTGGGCTGGTCAGGCAGGATGCCCCTCGTTTGGGACTGGTCTGATGGTTTTCTCATGATGAGACTGGGTTATGGGCTTGGGGGCGGGAGACTACAGAGGTGAGGTGCCCTTCCCATATCCGGGGTACATGTTATCAGCGTGACTTATCACTCGGCTGCTGCCCTCGATCACCTGGCTGGGGCGCTGCCGGGCTCAGCCTTCTCCACGGCAACACCCCTCTCTTTCCGCCGTCCACACTGTCCTCGTTGGGAGGAAGATTTTTTATTTATTCATTTGAGAAAGAGTGAGCAGGGGGGAGGGGCAGAGGCAGAGGAAGCAAACCTACCGCCGAGCAGGGAGCCCGACATGGGGCTCGATCCCAGGATCCTGGGATCATGACCTGAGCTGAAGGCAGATGTGCAACCAGCTGAGCCACCCAGGTGCCCCTAGGTTTTTCTTTTCTTTTTAAAAGAAAGGTAGAGAGAGATACCTCTAGAGAGAGAGGCAGAGGGAGAGAGAATCTCAAGCAGACTCCCTGCTGAGCACGGAGCCGACACAGGGCTCGATCTCTTGACCCCGAGATCATGACCTGATGAAATCAAGAGTCTGGACGCTCAACCGACTGAGCCACCCAGTTGCCCCTATTCCTAGATATTTAATCTGTTTGCTGCTACTGTAAGTAGGGGTATCTGTAAGGCTTCTAGCAGGATGCTCTGTGTTTCTGTGACGATTATCAATGGCTTGCATTAACATTAACCCTGCCGTGCCAGATTCTGTCTGCAGTAGTTTTGTTTTTATTTTTTAATTGATTCTCTTGGGTTTTCTACACCATTTCAAATAGTGACTGCCCACTGTTTCTTTGCATTTTTTTTTTTTTTTTTACTCCTACGCTGTTAAAAATAGTTCTCCTCCTCAATCTGTCAGCTTTCTGTGATCTTCATTGAGTCACTGAAAACCTCGGCTACTACAGAGGAGACTGGCCGAGAGCTCACGCTGCCTCCCACCTTCTCCCGCACTCTCCCTGCAGGGTTAGAGGTGAAGCCTTCGGATGTTGTTGGAGAACTTAGTATCTATGTTCTCAGCTGACTCGGCGGGGGGGAGCCAGGCCCACGGAGCCGCATTTCCAGAGTTCTTGGGCAGATTTAAACCCTCCTATGTGCAGCCTTTCAGTTTGAAGGCCAGCTGGGCTGGACATAAAATCGTCGGCTCCTCCCTTCTTTCCTCGGGATGGTGTAGATATTACTCTACTGTATTCTGGACTCGAATCCTGCATGGAAAAGCCAGAAGCCGGCTGTTTTCCCTGCAGAGTGACGTGATCGCTTTTGCCTGGATGCTTTCTGGATGCTTCTGTGCTGGGTTATGTGTCAGTATTGACCCTTCTCCTCTGGTGCACACGTTCATTTTCCCTGGTGCCCAGTACCGGGGACATAGTCCATTAACACGCACATAGTCTCCTTTGGTTTCAGTAAACTTTTCTCAAATCATATTCAAAAAATCAGGAAGCACCACCACACCATGAAAAGTGGGGCCCATTAATTCTATCCTGGAAGGTGTGCACTCACACGAATGCAAGACTAACCAAAACGGTTAACGTGCCCACAGAGGGGATTCTGGGGGCCGGCAGATTCAGCCCATAGCAGTCCAGGCTGCAGTTGGGGGCCACCTGGCTTCAGCGTTGTTTCTGAGCCCCGGGGCTGACTGCATGGTGGTAGGGATTCTCGGGGACCCCCCACCCCAGTATTGGCACCTGCCTCGCTGACCCCACCTGGAAAGACTGGGCTGAGCAAATACCAGCAACGTGGAGACCAAGCTCCCCCTTCCTGCCACCCCTTCTTCCACAGGAGATAACCTGAGCCCACATTCACTTGAAGACAAGAAATGGGAGCCAACTGCCTATACGGTAGAGCCAAACCCACATCACTGCAGGCGATGCAAAATGTCACTTCCTCTACTTGGCTCCGTAATTCTGGGATCCGGTCCAGAAGCCTCCGCTTACACATCAGCTGTGTCCTCTTTGCTTGTCTTTGTCGGGATCACTCTTGACTATTTAAAAACTCATTCTTCCTTTTTTATTGTGTGTACTTTGCTCGCTCACTCCCGCCTCCCCTGTGCCTCACCGTGCCCTCTGTCCTCGGCTGTGTCTAGGGCCCCCTGAGCTCATCCACTTACAGATTTATTTCTGGGAATAATTCCAGCTCATGCTTCATTCTCTCTGGTATGGTGGCCACTCAGCCATCTCCTCCCCTAAGCCTTGTAACTTCTTCTTTGGTGGTGACTATTTTACTGTTCTCTCTCTTTGAATTCATAGTAAGGTGTTGATTTTTTTTTTTTAATCTAATGAGTATTATCTTACGGTAAAAAAATGCTTCTCTTTTCCTTATTTTTCCTTAGGGTGGCTTTGCAATGATGTTATGCCCCATGCCTCCTTTTATCAAAGGTCACTGAAGGAGCTGAATGTCCCTGGACCAGCTCTGTGCAGAGGATGGTGGGAAGCAGTTCAAAAGCATCTGCCCAGTGAACTGACTTCATTCCATATATATATAAATTATTGCTTCTTTGTATCTTTGTGTACATCCGGGGCGGTGTATTCTTTTTTTTTTTTTTTTTTTTTTGGTGAGATGGGTAGAACAGAGGAAGAGGGAAAGAGAAAATCTTAAGCAGGCTCCATGCCCAGCGCACAGCCTGATGTGGGACTCGATCTCATGACCCTGAGAGATCATGACCTGAGCTGAAAGCAAGAGCTGGATGCTTAACCAACTGAGCCACCCAGGCGCCCCCTGTGGTGGTGTATTCTAAAGCACTAATTATGCCTGTTCACTCTGTCTAGTACCTTTTTAAATTTCAACCAATTACCATGTTTTTCATTCCCAGATTTTCAAACAATTTTTATGTTCATCTGATCTTACTTTATTTTTCATGATATTTTTTGCTTCCTTATTCCTTATTGAATTCAAGTGGATGTTATTCCTTTCTGAAAAATACTTGCCTGAGTATCCTAAACGTACTTATGTGTCATTTGTTGCTAGAGTACACCACAAAATTAATAACTTCCTCTTGAATAAACTCAAGTTCCAGATGCTGACTCTGACTGCCATCCTTAGCAGGGGTTGCTGCATGGATTCCAGAATTCTGTCCACAGGGTCATTTTGGATACTACTCCTTTTTCTCTTTATTCTGCATTTTTATTTTCTCTGCCTCCTGCTCACCCCTCCCTTTGGGCAGGACTGCCATCACCCTGGCCTTGCCACCCTCCCCGGGGGCAGCTGTGGCCTCAAGCTCAGGTTGGAGCCTTTCTTTCTTGGAGAACTTCTGGGACCTCTGGCCACGTGTGAGCCATGCCCTTCCTGGTCACCCTCACTCGACTCTGTCTCTGGAGTCCGGTGGCCTGGGCATCGGTCCTGCTCACTGCCTGTGTTTCTGGGACACAGCAATGCATAGCTACATCTCTGTGGTCTCTTCCTGTAGCCAGCTAGACCCCAACACCTGACCTTGACTCCGCCTCCATCTTACATTCTTCCTGAAGTTCTTCTTTCAGGCCTACCTCTTAACTCAGGCAAATGAAACCCAAAACCGCCCCTCAGGGCATGGCCCCTGCCCAGACCACCCCGACCGTCTGAACTAAACTTGGCTCGTGCTTGCACAGATGGGCCAGGGAGCAACAGGACTCCATTACAGAACTAAAATCATTACAGTGCTAAAATCTCTGCTCACGGAGGAACCTCAGCTGCGTTTACATAACATACAATGTACACACAGGTGTGTTTCCCTAACATGCATGTGCGACCTTATGCCCACCTCTGCGAAGGATGACAAGGCTTCCCCATCTAAATATTCATCCTAACCCTAAACAAAAGGTACCCATTCACCCCGTCTTGGGGAGTCACCGCGTTGGAAGCGATTCCCTGTGATCTCACTTGCTGCAAATAACGTTTACGTTGTGCGATCACTCCACCTGGCATATCTGACTCGCCAAGAAGCGAACTCACGTTCGTTCGGTTACGTACCTACATTTTATCTGCTGTTCTTGTGTGTTTGCAGCAGAGCACTACATCAGAAGCCTGCCCGAGCCGCTCTTGATGGGTTTCAAGAAGGGGGGTGACTCGGTTATTTCTGAATTTTAGAAAGATCCTTCTAGCTGCCGGGAGAATACACAGGGGGGAACCCATCCAGGGGCAGGGAGGGATGGGGCAGGAATGGGGGCCATGGTAACAGGGGTGGCATGGAGGGAAGGAGCATCTGTGTGCACAAGTCTTGCCCAGGGAGGTGGCTGGGCCTGGGGTTGCAGTCAGAGCTCATACCGGGCTGGGACCCTTGCTCTGGCTGCCCCCCTGCAAGGCACATGCTGGTCTCAGGGTGGCCGGTCTCAGTCAGACACTGCCCGAGGCCAGGATAAAGGGTGGCAGAGAAAAGGCCACAGTTCTGTCCTAAAGAAGGCCATAAGCCTTGAAACAGGGAAGAGCGGGCAGAGCCTTGGAGTGGTCCTGGGGTGCTGGTAAACCGGAGGTTCCTTTCCACCACCAGGCTGGCCCGCCACGGGCAGCTTGAGCTCCCAGCTGTGGGTGCTCAGGGCTTGCTCACACAGCCCTGGGAGCCACCGATTGTCACCAGCCACCCCAGGGCTCCAACGGGCTCATCTGATGAAGTTTCTGGGGCAGCTGCCACTCTGGCCTCAAGTGCTCCTAACTTGGGCTCTTCGTGAACACGTTCCGAAGGGCACCACGAAGCCCCGCATCTGCACCACACAATGTTCCCAGACCTCTTTAAAAAGAAAGTTTAATAAGGATTTTTACACCAGGACATGTTGTAATTACAAGTTCTATTTAAGTCATTACACGTATTTACACTAATTATGTAGTTAAATGTAATTATACTAATTGTATAAACGCACAATAACTGGCTCCGATATACTTTGAGAGAACACAGAGAATCCACCCAGAAAACCTGCGAGGATGCAATGGGCGCAACGCAACCCCACAGGAGGACAGAGGGTGCGTGTGGGAACCTCAGGCTGCGAGCCGGCCTGGGGCTCACCACGCATACAGCAGGCGCTCCCACGGCACCAAGAGTGCCTCTTGAAACAAACAGGGCCCGGGGCTACAGACCAGACTTGGTTCCATCTCAGCCTCAGCGAGTAGTGGACTCTGACTCCCTGCAGGCTTTTTGGACACCTCAAAGGACAATAATCAAGTCACTCTCCTGCTCAAAGATATTCTGTGGTTCCCCACTGCCCAGGGAATAAAGTTCCACCTTGGCAGCCTGCATGCAGGTCCTCCAGGATGAGGCTCCAACGTCCCTCTAACCCCATGCTCAGAATTTCTCAGGCATCCATGCTGCCTGCGATCCAAGTAGACTAGCTGACTCTCCTGGGCCTGCCAAGTGCCTTCCCACCTTCCATGCGTCTGCCCAGGCAGCGCCCTCTGCACCACACGCCAGCCCACCCCCCACCCCCCCCACCCCCGCCTCTGCGCCTCTCTTGAAGCCCCACCTGTTCCCCCGGGGCCCTGCTGGGCCCTGCTGATTCCGCCCCTCCTCTGCAAAGCCTTCCCCAGTCCTTCTGGGTGCAAACACGCTCTCTCCTTCTCCCTGCACCTCCCACAGCTCCGGATTTGTAATTCTCTGCTGACGCTTGAGATTTTTTTAGCCGAAGTTGAAGTCCCAGTGGTTGTGCCAAGAGCAGTGAGGTCCCCTAGGGCCAGGACTCCATCTGCCCCAGCTCGGCGTCCCAACCCTCGGCACAGAGCCAACTCTAAGATATGTCCGATGAATAATGAATGGATGAAAGACTGACTTCTTTCAATACTGACAGCATGTTGATAAAAAGAATCCTAAGGAGCTCTAGGAGCCCCAAGGGGCCTCTTCTGCCCACCGAGGTGAGGTGGTCAGGGAAGGCTGCCTGGAGGAGAGGATGTCTGAAGTGAATCTTACAGGATGAATGAGAATTGGCAGCTGTGTGGAAAAAGGCCCAAAGTGTTGACTGTGGCCCGGGATGGCAGAGGATGCAAGCAGTAACATAAGAGGGGTCACCTGCTGGGACCAGAAGTTAACAAAGAATGACTTTGCCTTAGCTGCTGGCCTCTCACACCCCCCACAGAGCAGGTGGTTCTGTGTTAGTCACGGATTAGGATGGCGCCATGAGGGGGAGGTTGGGGGGTGGCACTAATGTGCAATTTCTGGAAGGTGCTACGCATCACCCTGCCAGAGCACTGGCTGCACACGATGCAAAGCCAGGCTCCCTGGTTCTAGAATCCGTGCTAACCCCTGCCCCACACCACCACGCCGTGGGCAAAGTAGACCAGGACGAGGGTCCCGGGACAAGCCCCCACCAGGAGCTCCCACTGCACAGGGCGGCTCTCCGCCTCCTACAGCGACCTCCAGAGCCCAGCCACCCTACCTCGGGGTTCTCCTGGCTCGGGGGCCGGTCCTCCTTCTTCTTTTTGGTCGCCTGAGCTCCCTGAGATGGCTCCTCCGTGGGCGGCCGCGACTCTGCCGTGCTCTCAGGCTGTGTCTGCACTTGAGGCTGGATGATGATGACCTGGAAGGTGTGGCAGAGGGGTGGGGGTGAGGGGTAGCCACTGCGGAGGGCGGGGGGAGCCAGGGGGGCCAGAGTGGCGAGGGGCCTTGGAAGTTGGGATTACAGAGGAACGAGGAAGCCTGCACCCAGCTCTCCGGCCCATGGGGCGCCTGCACCGAGGGTGTGCGCCTCTGGACAGCCCCTTACACCGTGAGGGCTGCCTGAGTACGAGCCTGGCTTAGGAACCAGAAGGGCCTGGGTTCAATCCTGTGCTACCATGTCACAGCTGTGTGGCCTCAGGGAGATCACTTTGCCTCTCTGAGCCTCAGCTTCCTTGCAATCCTGCCTCCAGGGAGGTGGTGAAGATTTGGGAAGCAAAGACTCAAAAGACATTGGTTTCTTTATCTCCAGCTCAAGTGCAGGGAGACTGAGGTCAAGAGAGCTCAGATTTGCCACCTGAGCTCATCAGGGGTTTGTCTGAGTGCACTGCCCAGCCTGTCCCCTCCCCAGCCTGCCCCTTGGGCCCCCAGGGCACTATGTCCAAGGCTTTCAAACCTGGCCTGGGCAGGGTAGGGGTGGAGAAGGGGGAGGTGGGTTCTGGACCCTGCTCAGCAAGGCCCAGAGTGGCCCTACTTCGGCCAGCGGTCATCAGGGTTCACGGCTACCATTTGGTTTGATTGAAGGGTCTGAGGCTGAGAAGTCTGAAAGCAATTTACGAAGCCCAGCCCCTCCCTGGGTGGGAGTCCCCTCCATCTGTGGCTCAACTACTTTATTAATGTTTTGGATGGGATATTGGGAAAGAATCATTATCTTTCACAGATCCAGGGGAAGGAATTCACGGGGAGCAGTCAGCCAGGGTCTCAACCAAGCCAGGAATAACCTGAACTTGTATTTTTCCCCCTAAGAACATGACTGTCTTGTGAATTTGATGCTCCTCAACAGGAAGAAAAAATGCATCTGTTTTTCTGCTGGCTTAAGGGAGGGCTCTTTGTTCTCCTTTGTATCACAATTTTAAAACCCCAGAATTCTCTGGATGGAAAAAAAAAAATGCCCCTCTTTATATTCACGGGAAGAAAAACATTAAGATCCCCAGTAGAAAGCAGGGCAAAAAACATTCTCAAACGAGTCACACAGAAGGAGACAGAATTCTTGAAAAGTATGGGGGAAACATTCAAGCTTCATAAGAACCAAAGGAATTCAACTTTCAACAGCGAGCATCTGTTTGCACCAATTAAATGAGCAAAAAGTGTTTAAAATGACAGTACTGAATGCTGGTGAGCTTGCAGTGAAAAGGGTACACACATCCCAGAAAGGCATCCCACAAACACCTGCGAAGCGCCCCCTGGGGGCCGGGTGTGGTCCTGAGGAACACGTCTCCCCATCCGAGCACATCCTGTGATGACTGAGCATCGCCGGGGCTCCCGTCCATGGGTGGGAGAGCCCAGAAGCATAATGCTCCCAGACATACGCTATGTGCAGTAAAATCCAGGTGCACAAAAGTGGAGCACCAGTTTTCAGGCTGGAAATTGGGAGGGACGCTGTCCCCAGAAAAGAGAGAGGCAGCCTGGCAGGCTCCAAACTGGGCACAGAGGAAAGGAGGCTGAAGAGATGAAGTGGTACCTTTCACGCAGCCCTGCAGTCCCAAAGGCCTCAAGCCTCCCGATCCCCAAGGAGCTCGGAGGGGGACAGGGAGAGGACCTCAGTTTCAGATTTAAATCTAGGCAAGAAATCACAGCTTTTCCATTCCGGCACCGGGCGTCCCCCAAAGTCCTCACCCACCCAACTACACCAGCCAGAGACCGACCACCAGGACGGGCCTCTTCTGGGAATTCATCCGGCCACGCACCTTACTGGTTAATTCGTGATTCCAAGGAGGGAAGTAATGCACTCATTGACCACTCGTTCTTTTTCCACCGATATCAACCCCTCCAGCCACGTGTGCGCTCAGTCGCACGCCCCTGCATCCGCACCGCGTCCTTCACGCGCTGATCCGTTCACTTGCGCCCCCCTCATACCGCCAGCCCTCCCACCGTGGGGTCGCTCGCTTGCAGGGTCATTCCTGCGCAGCCCGTCCCCTCCAGCGCGGACGCACTCACGTGACCGCTCATTCACGCCTCGCTTCGCACGCCATTCATTCGAGGGGCTCCTGGGGTCCTACCGCCAACCACTCGCTCTGCTCAGGCAACCGCCTCCAGCGCGAGCGGGCACGCACCCACCTTCTTGTCGGCACTGATGAGGAGGGGCTGGACCTTGACGCTGTCGCTGACCACAGACACGGCAGTGCTGGGGGCCATGGCGGCGGCATTGCTGGGGGCGGTGGTGAGGATGGCGTAGGCCACCCCGGCACTGCTCAGGGGAGAGGCGATGGCGGCGGGCTCAGCGAGGGCCTGGGGCTGGCTGCCGGGTGCTGGCACATGGCTCACGGTGTTGTTGGCGGTGGGGAGGGCTGGGCTGGGGTTCTTGATACTGACCACGGTGGCCTTCTGGAAGGTCGGGGGCTGCTTGGGTGGCCGGTCCCGGCCTGGGGCGACGGGGAGGCTGTCTGGAATCAGAGTCTTTGGCCTAACCTGGGGAGGGAGGGACAGGTGCATGGTCAGACAGACACACGGGCAGGTGGAGGGGGCAGCCCTGAACACAGCGGGGACTGGAGCACTGACGTGGCCAGGCTCTGAGACCTCCCATGTTAGACCTCCCATGTTAGCCCTCTCCAGCAGTGGAGAGGCCCTGGGGCTCAACTCTGGGCCGAAGCCCCTTCCAGCCGAACTCAGATAAGATGGTGAAGAACAGGGAAGGAGGGGTGGGAAAGCGGCACGGGGACCAGTCGGGTCCCTCTGACGTCAGAAGTCCGCGGAGCGCTGTCGCTGGGGCAGGGACCGGGAGGGCCGCGGGGACTCCTGGCCCCCGCTCAGTCGGCTTCCTGACCTGGAGGGGGCTGCCGCTGCATTCCCTGTGGAAGCCATCATGCTGTAAGCTGGAGATGGCATAGGTCACCCTCTGAGAGGCCCACACGCAGGGAGTTAAGGCAGGTGCAGGTGGCTAGGACGCGGTTCTGGCCAGGCCTCCGGATGGCTCCTCTGCAGCCGATCCTGCCCCTCCGGGGCCTGTGCGGTCTCGGGCGCGCACCTCATCTGTGCGCTGGGGGCGGGGAGAATGCACAAAGTGGTGCGTGCCTCCCCACTGTCAGCTGGCACCAGCATCCCAGCACTCCTGCCGCTAGAAATGAGCCTTACGCCAACCCCGTGAGACCTGCGCTAGCACCACCCTCTCAGGGATGAGGAGGCAGATGAGGACGTGCCCCCCCTCACCTTATTTGAGACCCACTGTGACTGCATTGTGAAGTAGGTATTCGGCCTATTCTACAGATGAGCAAATCGAGGTCTGGAGAGGAAGGGACTTAGCCCAGGAGAAGAACGACGCCCCAGCCGTCACTGTTGGGGGAGCGGGACTCGCACTCAGGACTTCTAGAAGCCTGCCTTGCGTCCGTGCTGGCTGACCCCACCCTGCGCCCCCACCCTGGCCAGTGACCTTCGTGGAGGGAGGGGTTCAGGGTGGCTCCCACAGGGCTCTGTGACCTCGCGCAGGTCAGCTCAGTGCCGCGTGCCCCTCAGTCAAGCCGGTATCATGTCTGTCTTCTCCTCCCCAGTGTCTGCGTGGAGCCGGCCTCAAGTCTAGTGATTCTAGGGTCCTTCCCTTGCCCCGCCAAGTGGGCCTTCCACCACGAGGGCCTCCCCCCATCAGGGCACCCACCAAGTCGTATGATCTTGTCCTGCTCTGTCCTGGTACGTGGGGTCAGGATGAGAGCCTGATACCAACACCAATACTGAAGGTGGGAACCTCAGATGGCCACCAGCTAGGGGACTGCTGCGCTCTGCCTCTGCGGAGGACGGGTGGGGGCAGATGGGGCGAGTGGTGGTTAATGAGGATCCCCCGCTACAAGGTCAAGGGAAGCCGTTCTGTGCTGTCGGCAGCCCCTCCCCCCCCGTCCCTGGTCACTCTGGTTCACAGTGGCCGGGCAACACCATGTAATCCCAGCTCTGCATGTGGGGGAGCCGTGCCCAGACTGCAGGGGCTGGGCTCTGAGCATGGGGGCCTCCAACCCAGAGAAAACCTATTCGGGGGACCCCAGAGCTCATGACTTTCAGCCGGTGCCACTTGGAGACGAGACGTGTACAGACCCAGGCCGGGCCTCCTCCCACGGGGGCCTACGGAGGCCTTCCCCACCCTCTATGCTCTCTCCTTTCTCCGGGCCTGTTGGGATTATTCAGCACGCGTGGGCGCTCAGGAAAGGTTGTCACCAGGACAAGAGCTGCCCTTTATCATCCTTGAGCGAGGGGCATCTGTCAGGCACTGTCCTCACCCCTAAGCCACCAGGGTACTGCATACACAACACTCGCTCAAGGCTGAGCACTGATTAACCACTAGCAGGCATGGCTAAAAAGGCGCTGGGCCATCTGGTTCGGCCTCGCGGCCACGAAGAACACACATGCATCAGCCCCTCTGCAGGAGGGGAGCCTCGGCCAGGTTAAGAGGCCAGGTGAGTTGTCCAAAGTGCGGAGCCCAGTCAAGGATGCCGTGGACCGAAGACAGGGCGCCTGGCTTAGCATCTTGCTGCCTCCCCTGAATGAATCGTCTTATGTAGAGTTTCTCGCACCGTCTTGACCCATGGTTTAAAATCTTTATTACTCATGACCCAGTCCAGAAACAAGCTATTCAAGAAACCACATTTAAGGTGCATCTTGATATTTTCTGTTCTACTCTAGTTCAGCTTCGTTTATTGCATTAAAGAAAAAACAAAACAAAACAAAACAAAAACCCTGGTCCAGACCCACTAAAATGATTTTGCAATTCCTCATCATAAAAACCAGGTCTTGTCAGAAAGTCTGTCTCCTCCCCTGACAGGCAGACGAGGAAGGAGGGGGAAGGGACATGCCCAAGCGGGTCCTTGCCCAGCTCAGTGCCGGCCTAAAACCTCAGTGCTTGAAGGTCTGGGGATGAACAGACAGATCCCCCCGGGGCCCACCGTGAGCTGCTTACCTGAGGTAGCACTGCCGCTCCTTGCCCGGCCAACCTCTGCAAGGAGCTGACCTGAGGACCCGTGACAGGCACTGCAGTGATGGCTCCCAAAGCCTGAAAGACAGGAGGGGGCACTGAGCCGGGACCGGGGACACCACGATGAGGTCCCCAGGGCCACCCAGCAGGTGCGCGGCTCTCACCACCTGTCGGATCAGGGGGACAGCAAACTCGGCTCTTCCCTTTCTCCATCAGGAGTTCACAACCACAAAAGTATGTTTTCATCACGCAAGACATTTTGGAAACCAGAGAAAGAAACAGGATGGCATTGTCCAGAAGACAGTCCTCAGCTTCCTTTTTTACAAGTAAGGTTTTTTTATATGGATACCCATCTACTAAAAGCCAACAAAAATCAACATTAATCTATACTTTGCACAATTATTTTTATAAACAACAAAATGAATCCAAGACCTAAAGGTAAAGCCTAAAACTAGAAAACTAGGAAAAAACCACAGGAGAAAAATCTGTGGGACCCTTGGTTAGGCAAAAGAGCCTTAGATATAACACCAAAACCTGATCCACAGAAGAAAAGATTAACAAACTGGACTACAAAAGAATTTAAAAGCTCCTGAAGCTTAAGTGTGAACAGAGTGAAAAGCCCCAGACTGAGAACACTTGCAAGTCACCTCTCTGATAAAAGACTGGCATCTGGACTATATAGAAGAACTCTCAAAAGGCCATCAACAGAGGGGCGCCTGGGTGGCTCAGTTGGTTAAGTGTCTGCCTTCGGCTCAGGTCATGATCCCAGGGTCCTGGGATCGAGCCCCACATCAGGCTCCCTGCTCAGCAGGAGCCTGCTTCTCCCTCTCCCTCTGCCACCAACCCCCCAAGCTTGTGCTCCCTCCCTACCTCCCTCTCTCAAATGAATAAATTAAAAAAAAAACAACCCACAATCATCAGAGAACAATCCAATTAAATAAAGGAACACAAAATTTGAACAGATACTTCACTAAAGAAGATAGGCAAATGGCAAATAAGCACATGAAAAGATGCTAAACAGCATTAGTTGTTAGGGAAATGCAAATTAAAACCACAATGTGCTATTGGGGCCCGCCTACTGGATGGCTGCATTTGAAAGGATGGACCAAATCAGGAGTTGGTGATCCTGTAGAGCAGCTCATCCACTGCTCTTGGGAACATAAAATGGGACAAGAACACTGCAAAACAGCTTGGCCATTTCTCATAAAGTTCAACATACATTTAGTGCTATGGACTAAATGCTTATGTCCCCCCACCCCAATTCCTGTGTTGAAACTCTAATAAATCTTAAAAAAAAAAAAAAAAAAAATCACGCGTTGAAATCCAGGCTCTAGATGTGAGGGTATTAGGAGGTGCGTAAGTCAGGAGTGTGGAGTCTTATGAATGGAATTGGATTAGTATCTTGTAAAAAAAGGTTCCAGAGGGACCACGAGCCCTGACCCCATGGGAGCCCTGACCCCATGTGAGGACGTGGCGAGAAGTCCCCCAGCCGGAGAGGGCCCTCACCCGTGCACAGCGGCGCGGCGATCTGGGCCTCGCAGCCTCCAGAATGGCAAGCAGTGAATGTCTGTGGGTGCTCTGCTGTAGCCGACTCGCCCGGGAATGCCGGCCGCAGCTCTGCCCGCAACGGCCGGGCGCGGGAACAGGCCCACGGCCGAACGGCCAGTGCTGTCTGCATCCAGTGGACTATCGCTCGGCGATCAAAAGGAAGGAGCAGCTGATACACGCAACCACAGGGAGGCACCGCGGAACGATTTGACTGAATGAAAGGAGCCAGGCACCAAAATAAAAATAAATTAAAAAAAATAGAAGAAGGACATACCGTATGACGCCATTTCTATAAAATTCCAGAAACAGCAAACTCATCTCCAGGACCAGGAAATAGGTCAGAGGTCATATGGAGATGGGGGGATGGGAGGAAGGCATGATGAAGACACTGGGCACTTTGAAGGGGGAAGGATGTGTTCACCATCTTGATTCTGGTGCTGGTTTCGTCCATCCCTGGAGGACACAGCGGAGGGTCCACGAACCACAGAGCTGCTACTCCCGATTGCGGGACGGCTCCTCCCGCCTCTCGAATTCGCCACCTGCCCCGCGTGGGTTCACGTCCTTAAGGCAGCTGCCTGCCTCTCTGTGCAGAGCCAAATCCTCCACATTTAACTTGAAATCCACTGTGGACAATTGTCAGAACAGAGCTTTACGTGCGAAGCAGAGAGCATTAAAGACAGACGTGGTCCCTTCATGAGGAAGTTTCTCAATTCATCGCGCCATCTTCCGTCTCTCGCCAGCACGGTTCAGTGACCAGTGCTAGAAGAACATCCCAAGCACACCCGAGGCCCACATTTTAAAAGATTCTGCCCCACCTTCTGCAAGGGGATGAGTGTACAAGGTTCTGCCTTCCTGGGCCCAGGCCTGCAGGCAATCAGCATCACCGTCGGATCCCTGCACCGGCCCAGGCAGGGACAGGTGGAGGCAGGCACGGAGCCCCATCTGATTAACAAGCTTCCAGGGGATTCTGCCAACCTGGAGACCACAGGCTGAGAGGAAGACGGCCTGTCCCTTCGCAGGTTCTGCATCAGAGACCCACACGGGCGCTCAATGTCACCAGTGAGTGAAGCTGTGTGGTCCCCAGACTGCAGGGATTCCTGCGTAGATGGGGGCCGGCCAGAAGATCCTAGGGCCACAGAAATACATGCCCAACACCCATGGGAGCCAGAGAACAGGTGTCAACTGACTTTCCCTGGGAATTCCCTGCTGGCTTAGATGCCTTCATACAAGCCCTCCGGATGCCGCCAGCCTGTGGGGAGGGGCCGGGCAGCCCTTCCAGATGAGGAGTGTGCATCCCCTGCATGTGCGTCTTTGAGCCCATCAGCATACAGGTGCGAGGGCTGCCATGTGTGTTTACTTTGGGGGTGTTCCTATGCACCAGCCATTCATTTCTCTGGGTGTCCACTTTGGTGCATGTGTCTCTGCTCTGGGCACTTTCCTGGCTGTCTGTCCATGTGCCTTGTGGGCTCGAAGCCTTCATTCCTGGTCGGCACTTGGCTCTCTCTCATGTGTTGTCGGACTTCTGTCCATGTGCCTTAGGGGAAGGACGGGGACCCAGAGAGACTCGGGTGGATGGAAGCTGCTGGAGGCAGAGACCCTGAGGTCGGGGTGGGTGGGGGTGGGGAGGGAAGGACAGGGGGAGCTTCGCTGACCTCATTCTCCACACTCAGTTACCAAGAAAGAGGCACAGCATGCCACAGGGCAGTTCCTGGATGCCTGCAGGCCGCCCACAGAACGAACAGCATTCACCTGCTGACTCCATCAGCGAAAACACTGACTCCAATGGTCAGGGGTGCCTGACCGTGCTATGGTGTGTCGGGGTCCCTCTGTGCCAGGGCAGTGGGAGGAGCCCCGAAGACGGGACGGCTCCTGGGTCAAAGCCCAAAGTCCCGGGCTTTTAGGAGGAGTCTGCTGCCAATGGGGCTCCCGAGCCGGGTGCCCCCGACCTCCCGCTTCCGGGGACGGTGGGTTTCATCCCAGGACATCCAAGTCATCTGCTGCCACCGCCTGCTCCCCATCTGTGCAAGGCAGGCTTCGGGGGGGGGCCCCTCCAAGCCCCAGCTACTTGCTTCTCTCTGAGGTCTGCCCCCAGAGTGTGTTCTTCCACGTCCTTATAAAGCTTTAATTAACAAGCTGAAAAGGCATTTTATCTGGCAGGGGCTGACCTTCCTGCTCTGTGTCAGAATTTATCGATACCAGCAGAGACAATCATCTCGGTGGCTCCTTCACGAGGACCACGTAGTTTATAGCCACACTTTCGTCAAGATAAATGAGCTCCTTATGACTACACTTACAGCTCTAAACATCTTAATAGGAAGAAAAAGGGCCATAAAAGTCAAAGATAACTTCAAATCTTTCCTGCATCGGCGGAGTCCCTGGGGCAGCCTCGGAGAAGCTCAGGTGTCAGGTGTCACAGCTGCCCGTCGGCGTGCTGGGGACAGACTGGCTCTGACACCAGCAGCGTGTGGCCCCCTGGCTCTCTGTGCCCAGTCTCCTTATCTGCAACAGGAAGAGATCCTGCTGCACAGGGCATGCAAGGGCAGAGGGAGCGGGCGCCGTGGGGTCCACATGCTGAGCACTGGGTGGTGGGGCAGGGGAGGGTCCATCCCATCCAGCCTGCCCAGAATTAGGGAGGGACAGGACTTGTGGCATCAGCCTGTCCGGGTACCAATCCTCGCATGGCCCATTTCTTGTTGGGCAAACCTGGGGAAGCCTCATCCGCATCCCCTGACTCTGAGATGGGATGTGCGTACTTGGCTCCACCCTCCATCAGAGTAGAACACCCGGGGGCCCAGCCGTGCGAGAAAGTAGTAAAGGAAACCAGCACTACTGTGACTCGGGCTTCCGGCCTGCGCTCCCATCAGCGGTGTTTCCTTCTGTGTCAGAAGACAGACAGGGAAGCAGGGCTGCCTGCTGGGCTCCCCCGAACCCCAGGCCGGGGTGAGCCATGGGGCCATGCCCCTGGCTGGTTGGGGGTGCTTTCAAACTGCCTTGTGGCGGGTCCCGCAACTGTGGCCAAGACCCCCCTGCCGTGGCCTCCCTGGACCTCTGGGCAGCACCGGATGCCCCACCCCCACGGGGACCCCCTTGGTTCCCTTGGTTGCTCAGCAAACGTCCCGGAGCACCCACTGGGTAGCTGGCCGGCAAGCTGCTTGGCCCCGGGAACTGGGTGGTGGGCCCGGCCTCACAACGGCTGCTCTCATTCCAGCCCCTGACCTGATGGATCAGAACCGGCTTGCACCTCTCTGCTCCCCTGCGGGACTGCAGCTCCCAGAGTCGCCAGCCCAGGTCCTGGCCCGAGCGGGAGCCTGGTGAAGGTGTGTGATGTCTGTCATCAAACAAGGAGGGTCTCAGGCCTCCAGTGTCCAACCTGGGCACCCTTGCTTCACACCTGCAAACACGGGCGGCAGAACTGAGCCCGCTCTCCACCCACGTGCAAACCTGCTCCCCGACCTCCGGGCCTTGGTTCTGGTTCCTGCGCCCAGAACGACTCCAGACCTCACAGAGCTGCCCTCTCAGTGGGACCAAGG